AGTCAAGAAAACTCACAGGCAAATCCCTAAAAAGTGGTATATATACTCTACATCTGGCCTATTTGATCGATAATAAGGTGATTTGGTTAGTGAAGGTCATATGTAAACTTCTATGCATGTGAGTGTGCCTGTCTCTGTATTTTTATGTGCATGTTAGTGTTCGCTTATGCACGACATTTTATAATTGTTTGGCCTTGTTTTCGCAACTTGAGGAACGCACCTAGTCCGGAGTCCGTTGTATGCATGATAATTTCCAAATTCGGACCGTTGACGTGATGCCAGACGTTTCGCCGGCATCTTCAGTGAGTCTTGCCATTATTAGGACCACACTACGACTCGTCAAAGAGACAAGTGAAGCAGATCCTTTGACTAATTGTCTGCTAAATAGTTGTGGTATTTCTCCTTCGGTAATGGGCTATTAACCTATTCTATATCCTCGTATCACGCCTTCTTTATCACAATTTTTTCCTTGCTTATTTAAATCTAGTATGGTGTGACTTTTTGAGCGGCTTTCATGAGACCCTTCACACTCCACGCTGGCGTTCTCACCCTACTTTACTCTTGTGCTGGGAATGTTCATCAGAATTTGCCATATGGTTACGCTGTCCTGCCTCCTTAGGTCTTATCAGAGTCTCCCTCTTGATCCCTAGGATCCGTCTGATTTAGTCCTGGCTCTAGTATTTTACTGAACCCCTGCCACCCCATCTGTGCTACTCGAGGCGTTATTTCCCACAATGCCTCTGGGAAACTAACTTGGGGCTTAAGCCCCTGAGTACTTCTCATAGTCAAGCCTTTGATACATGGACGACGTCTATGGCAAAACAGGCCTACTGTCAGATAACTAGCTCTAATCTTTGCCGCGTCTATCCTTTTCCAATCCATAATACCAAGTATATGTGTCCATATGTCCTATTCTCTTGTGTGCCAACTCCTAAATGTTGTGGTACTTCTTGTTTTGATTAGGTACATCATTGAACCACAACATTTGTGGATTGGCACACGAGAGACTAAGACATATGAGGTCATAGACTTGGTATTACGGATAGAAACAGAATATACGCGGCGGAGACAAGAGCTAGTTGGCTGATAGTAGGCCTGTTTTGCCATAGACGTCGTCCATGTAGCAAAGGGTTGACCATGAGACTTACTTAGATGCTTTAGTCTAGAATTCGTTACCCAGAGACAAGGGATAGGTAATGACGCTTCGAGTAGCACAGATGGGGTAGCAGGGGTCGAGTGAAATACGTGAACCAGGGAGGGAGAAGACGCATCTTACAGGGCAAGAGAGAGAGACTGTGATAAGACTTAGGGAAGTAGGACTGTAACAATATGGCAGACTCTCATCACAAGGGTGAAAGGAGTGAATACGACAGCGTGGAGTGTGAAGGGTTTTCATGAATGCCGCTCAAAGGTACACACCACACTATCTCGAAATAAGCATGGTAAAAATTGTAACAGTGAGGTTGTGATAGAATGATATAGGATATGTGAATATCCCACAACTATTTAGCACATTTGGTCAAAGGATCGGCTTCACTTGTCTATTCGACCAATTGTAGTGTGGTGCTAAGAGTGGCAAGACTAACTGACGATGCTGGCGAAACGTCTGAGAATTTATCACGTCCACGGTCCGATTTTGAAAATGATCATATACAAAATGAACTTCGGACTAAGTGAGTTCCTCTAAGTTTTCCTACCAATATGACCAAGTTGCCATAACAAGGTCACACTACTTCTATACAACGAAAGGAGACAGCAACCACAAAAAAGGCCACCATCTTGGTCTTTATATCTTCAAAAATCTTTTTTTGTTAATGCGCGGCTAATGGGGTCCTATATATGAGGATTTAATCGTATTGCTTGTTAACACTAGGCTATTAGGGCTCACTGATTTAATCTTTGGGATTATCACTTATTTCGCCTTTGATAATAGCATTTGCTAACTGATAGAATGACTTATGATTTGATCTTGTTTAGTTTCCATTTTGATAAATGATTATGTCGCCCTATTTAGGTAACGCCAAGCGGACATTTCAGTAATTTATCATTTTTAATTAATTAGTTAAAAAGTAACATTGAAATTACTAATGAATTGGAAAAAATAGTAGCTATCTATTAAAGAAATTGCTTGCCTGAATTACGTGTGCATCTGACCTGAATATACTGGCTTATCCTTTATTTCTTAACCATAGTTACATGGTTATTTCTAGTATTCTTACACCAATAGCGGGCTGTTAGGTCGGCCTGTACAATCAGGCATTGATAGTATTTTTCGGTTAGGTCTTCTTAAAATTAAATTCGTTCTGTAAAGAATAGCATTTTTGATGGGGATATTCGGCACGAGATAAAGGGCCTGCTGTCCTACTTAATTTTATTTCATGCCTTTTAAAAATGCGGACGATTTTATGAGATTAGGAATAGAAACTTTTTTTTATAGGAAATTTTACGATTTCTTTATACGTACTCAGAAAGAAGTCTGTTCCACTAGCTACATCAGACTTCTATATAATAGTTCATCCAGCCGGTGTCCTCGTATATTCAAAGGTAGTCGAATAGGAAAGTGCTTATTGAAGTTGTTGGGTTTAGTGATCAGGGGTTGCTGAGCGCATGGCAGTAATTGGATATGATACAAACTGGACCCATTCATCGGTTTGTTAACTATGCTGTCTCTAGGGTGGTAGACACTATCAAAAACAACAGACTATGGATTAAGTTGGATGTAAAGAACGGGTGTGGAAAGTTAGTATAAGTATAATTGTGTTCGGTTGATTGACTTAAATGCATAGGTGCTCACTTAACCGCCACGAAAGGCTACTCAAGTATTTAGGGTTTGTTTATAATGTTGTTCAGGTGTCATAAACGCCTGATTTTACACTGAAAGCTCATCAACCCTACTGGGCTAATTTGGATTATTGCGTAACCGTAGTGATGTATTTTGCTGATTCAAAAAAGTAAATAAGCCTTCGCTATCTTGGATATATGTTATATTTTCTCTTATTTACTCTAAATTATTACTGGCGAATCCCTACTATTACACACACAACTGCAAGTGGTTCATTTTATTTTCACATAGATCTACAATTGGAATCTATTTTGTATGTAATACTAGTTATCTTGTAACTGTACATGATTCAGTCAATTACAGCTAGTATAATTATACAAATAAGTGCATGTTTTTTCCGCAGATCTCTCTCTAACATGAAGTAAAGCCAAATATGTCCATCTATATCTGTCTTTTTTCGCTTCAGCACTACTTTAGCCGGGCCTTTCAGCGCATTAAAGAGGAACGGCAGCAAAACGATGCCGCCGTTAGTGCTGAGTCCGCTAACTCAGCTGGAGAGGAGTCAGGTGCAGGAAAGACAGCCTCAGACGACTATTACCACGGGCTCAGCGTTACTGTTCGTTATAACCAGGCCCGTCTCCATGAGGCCATGTCAAGGCCTGATCTAGCTGAAGAAATGTATAAGGCTATTTTGTCGGAACACCCATGCTACGTTGACTGTATGTTCACACCTATACTTTTTTCCCTATTTTCGTGCTATCGCTCAATAACTTTACTCAGATTA